TAAATGTAGGAAAATGTGTTTTATGAAACCAGTTATAGTATGCTAATTGAAAATAGTAGGCAGAAAGCAATATAGTTAATGTCATTTTTATATGCGAATATATGTGTTGCGTACATGGGGAAAAGCCAGGAAATATATACACCAAGATATTGAGTGGTTCTTGCTGCGATTATAGTATTACTTGTGCTTTCTCTGTTTTCTACGCAAAGCGTATTCATAGTTTGTAATTAGGCGAAAAGCAATAAATGTCATTTAAAACACACACCTGGCTGTTCCACCGGGTACGGAACCGAACTGTGGCGCACCCAGCCGGTGTTGGAGAGCTGGCTGGTGAGGGACAAACCTCTACGTCATGGTGACCAGAAGTGTGTTGAGAGCCGGGAGTAGAGTAGATGAAAACAAAACTCTTTGTTTTCTCCTACTTTACAGCATCCATAGAAAACCAATATATCATTTATTTTGAAAACTAGAGACTATTTTAACCAATTGTGTTTCAATCCATAAAAGTGGTTTGGAACTGCCCATAACTGTTAAGAGTTTCTGACTGGCTCTGGCAGGTGGGTGACGCCAACTGCAGGCGCATCTGCAAGTATGTGAATAAATGCTTTTAAAAAAATCCCCGAGGTGACAGACTATGAGTGTGACAGCCCGGACTCGCCTACCCTAACGGGACCGGGCCGTGTGTTCCACGTGGAGCGCGTACCTCCCTCTCGGCTCCCCCGCCGCCTTCTCTCCTCTGCCCGCTGCTTGATCAGCGCCAAGGCTGCGATGCTGTCCGCGATCTTCTTCTGCTCTCTGCTGTCCCACTGCTGTCTCTCCTCCCTCTCAGCCGCGTACCCTCCCCTAGCCCAGGCCTCCGCACAAGCCCTGGTTAAAAAATAAAGAAACGAAAACAGGGGAGGTGTGAATTTTTACAGGTTGAAAACGAATTCCAAACATACGCCATCTGACCAAACTTGTTCATTTTCTTCAAAATCAAAACCAAGGGCACATAAGACACATAGCTGCAAGGATGAAAATTAACACATGTAGGCCGGGCGCGGTGGCTCACGCCTGTAATCCTAGCACTCTGGGAGGCCGAGGCGGGAGGACTGCTTGAGCTCAGGAGTTCGAGACCAGCCTGAGCAAGAGCAAGACCC